ATGACAGGCTCAATTTGGTATGATACACAGAAAGCGATTTCAGGCTTTGAATGATGCCGGGCACTTGCAGCTGGTCTCAGGTTGTCTCAGGTGCATTTCGAATTGTAGACCAGAATTTACACTGCAGAAATTTGCACATGGATTAAAGCTGCAGAGCCTGAAAGCTAAATGAAGCGTCGTCGCTTCAATTCGTTCTGCGATAAGCCTTCCAGCCAGGAAGCCCTTGCAGAGCTCTGATTCCACTTTTGACAAGCTTCCTTCCATGAGAAGCCCCGGTCGCGCTTCCTTGCAATAAACCTTAAGCGAGCTTCTTTGTAGGATCCAGGCACATATGCACAATCCGACGTCATCGTCCTCTTCATGCGCTGCATGGCCTCGGTTTCCTCGCCCTTCTTATCTGTGCTGGGATCTTGTTTCTCCTTCTTGGGGTCCTTCTTCGCCTGAACCTTTGAAGCTGTGCAATTCTTGGAGTCCTGGGCCTTCTTCGCTTTGGGCTTTTTGGAGGCTTTGGCCTTCTTATGCCCGTCAGGATCCTCCTCATCGCCATCGCCGGGTCCATTTGCAGCACCGCCCTCATCATCTTTGGCCCACCTAGCTCGACTGCAAAATGACGACCCACCCGCAAGCAACCCAACAGCAACATCAACACAGTTCTTGAAATTGACATGGAGCACAACACTATTGAAAATGCAACCGAGCAACTGTACACTGGGCAGGAACGGCTTTGCGGGCTCCGAAGGTATCAAGGTCCGAAGGCTATCCAGAACCTGCAGTCTCTATATTTAGCAAATTGAAATCACAACAGGCATCCCCCCAATATTGAATACACATCAGACAAGAAGCCTTCTCGGGAAGCATCTTCTCCTCAATATCCTTCTGGACACCTTTCTTGGGCTTCTTATTTTTCGAAACTGCTTTGGGGTCCGCAGCTTCTGCCGTCGATGCCGCAGCAGGCTCCTGCTTGGCACACTTGGCTTGCAGCCTGGCCAAGACCATCCTCGGATATAGCATTGTTCAAGCTGATGAAGACAACACTCGGACTGTTCAAGGCAGCATGCCAGCATCCACCTAAAACTAACTATTCCACGAAAAGGCTCTGCATCTCACCAGTCAAAGCTGGGATATGGAGCGGCGGGGTCACCACCGAGCTGGAGCTCTCAACCTTGTGTTCATTGGAGTGCAAATGGCAACACAAAGAGACATCCCACTGAACAAATATTGGGAAGAAGCTGCATCGTCGTGCTCGGCCAAAGAAGACAGAGCAGCATCTTCATCTTCAGGTGATTGGCTGTCCTCCTCACCCTCCGACTCAGAATCCTTTGCGTGCTGGATTGCTAATGTGGCTGCACACCGTCATGCGTGGGCCAAGTGCACAAGTATAGAAATCACAAGCCCAGACTCCTCACCATCCAGGTATCCAGCCAGCTCAGCCTTCAATTCCCGGAGCTGGGCCTGATGGGAACTCCTTGCTCGACGGGCAAGGTGCTTGAACTTGGTCACCTCGGCTACAGACAGGCAAAGGAACCCATTTCGATCGGAACAAATCCCACTCTAGCTGTAAGACCAGCCGCAAGCTTCCGGATTGCTTGGCCAGTTCGACAGGCCCAGTTCTGGACGGCAGGTGCACTTATGAGCACACCTTTAGGCAAGATCTTGTTGTTGTTCACAAAATGCAGTATCGCATCGCTGTATATATAAGCGCTCTGGCGCTTGCGCGACTTCAGCTGTCCTCTCACTGCTGCAGCAATGACCTTAGTATGTTGAGCAACAAGCTTTGATCTGTATGCACTACATTCCATATCCCATGATATATTCAGATGGGGCACTCTCGGGTTGGCGATGCAATCTTTGCGTGAAACCACCTTCCTTTTTGTGAGCAGCTTGCCCGATGGGTCGATCACCATGTTCAAGCCTGCCTCAGATTGCAAATATTGAGCTGCAAGAACTCACGCAAAACAACATGTATATATATAATATAATTCTTCAAAGGTGCCGAAATGAGGGACGGCTCCTTGCTCAGCTCCTCCGAGACACGTACAGCCTCAGAGCCTGGTTCAAAATGAACCTTTTCAGGAATCACAGCAGCCATGGCTAGCAAAAGGCGAACCCCAGTGCACAGGAAATTTGCAATGCCCGAGGTCAGGACCTCGGGAACCCTAGCTTTTGTTTAGGTCTGCAGGGCATGATCTGGCATCTGACAGATGCGGAGCTCGAACAAAAAAACTGAAGCACTCGCCAATCTTATCCTGCATAATGCGCAAGCACTCACTGCACTGCTTCAGTTCCATGCTCCTGCAAAAACACGTACATTGCATGAAGCCGCCGACTGGCGCCTGAGTCATCATCTGGATCACGTGTGACCCTGCAGATCTTCGGCTTGTACTTTGCCGGCCGAGGCATCCTGCACAGAAGCTGCTCGTTGGAACAATTAAAACAACACAGAGCAGCCAAACCTTCTATAGAGGCCATACAGCAAATCTAGAATCCCGATTGTTTCCTGACCCTGGCATTCTGAAACTCTGACCGGAATCTGTTCATTCTGTACCGACCTTGATGCACCATCGCCGCTTCACAGCTTCACCAGTCCTGCACAGCACCAGCTGTTCACACACACCGTTTCTCGACACTCTTTACATTCACAGAACCCATATGTGCAGCAGAAGGGCCAAGCTGCATAGAAAAACCTCAGAACGTCGAGCTCGAAGTTGTCGAAGAGGAAAAAGGTCCTCCAAACAAAGTATTTGTCCAGGTCTCTGTTTGTCGGAAAACTGAACTTCAAGACCGCCCGGTCCTGCCCAACAATCTTGCAACGGAGCACCATGCACCCCACGTGTGGGGCCCACAGGGGTTGCAACTCCGAACTGACAGCTTGTGGAACATGCAATCTCACAGATTTATTTGTCAATGCCACGAGCTTTCAACTCGCTTGCCTGCACATGTAGAGCTGCAGACATGTAGAGCCAGCTGCACACACCGACTCGGGCGGAGTTTGCAGACACGATCACTGCAGCATGTGCGTCTCTGCGATCTTGCGAACTGCACTTGCAAAACTGCATGCAGACTTCGATCGACCTGCAGAAAGAATTTAGTATCACATCTATAGGGAATTCAGGAATTAGGGTTTTTCTCTCCCGCACTCGTTCCGCCGAAGGTCAAATCTTCCCTACGCATGCATGAGCAAAATTGGGGGAGGGGTCCCGGCATAGAGCATCATGGGCAAGATATTCTGACCAAAATATGTCGAAATGCATGAGTTGAGCCAATTCGGTGCAGTTCGGTCTTGTTCTATCCCGTGCACAACGACCCATGGCCGGTTTAAGGGACATTTCAAACGTACCTTAAAATAAGGGTCATTTGAAAAGCGCAACGTCAGCTTTTTTAAGGGTCAAGCCGTCCCCAAGGTACTACACGGCTGGAGAACGCTGGTGTCCTCGCGGGGATCGACACTTCCCCTGATAGACAAGCCGAAGTTATTCCGGAGGCACGCACGACCGCCGGGAATGCCTCTGAAGGCTGGTCAGGCGTGGACCACTGGAGAGACTACCAGCCCCGCTCTAATAGCCGATCTATCGGCCTCGCACCCATCATGATTGCTGCACTTTGTGGTCGCGGGTGGGGGCATCTCGGCGCTGGACTCGCTCTAGGATCTCTCGTCCACGCAGCGGACGATGAGGCCCCGAACCCGAGCGAGCCTGCAGCACCCAGCTCTCCTTCTTACACTGGAGTGCAACCCCCCACTCCAGAGACCACTATTGACGGAGAAGGGATGGCAGTCACAGTAAGGGCCAGTGATGATGCTGGTGCTAGCACAGCTGTACCGATTCAGGGCGCTCTCAGTAGTGTTGCCCCTCCTTTTGACAGAACCCTAATCCGGTTCTTCAGCGCCGGGTTGCTGCACATCTGCAAGGGGTTAACATAGGACCCCGGCCAACCCCCTTTATTCCTTATGGTTGTCCGGTCACGATTCATGACCCTTTCTCGCGTGGATCCACTTGCGAACTCCTCACCACGGGAGTCGGCACAGGATTTATTTTCGAGGAGATGCTTAAGGACTACTCCGCGCGGAGAGGGTGGCAGCCTTTGGTTAGCGTGCAACCTCAGCCTGATGCCGAGGCGATACACTTGATCCCAGTTGCTGCAGATCCTTCTCAAGCATCTGTCTTGATACGATCCGGAGAGGCTTTATACCCCAGGTGTCTGTCTCGCTCCATCATTAGAGGTCGAGGTCTTCAGGTCGTGGTGAGAGGCGCTCGAGGTCGTCTCCGCACTCCATATTCCACCGGCAGAGACCCGGAGCGACCTGTTCACCTTCGGGACGGAGACTGTCTACAAGCGGACTTGGGACCTTTCGGGCCCCCTCCCCCCCAGCCCGTGCGCTCACGAGCAGCAGGGTTAGGTCTAGCCCTTTTATTAGGATCCGTTCTCGGACTCCGGTTTCCCATAGCCAGTGCGGTTATGCTCCCCTTACTAGGCGGGTTGCATGTTCCGATCCCGGAATATCGGCGAGGGGGATACTCACTAGGGCACTTCCCCTGGCGGTTGCCTAGAGAGGAGCAGTCGATGGATCATGTCAGTCAATCTCGTGGCTGTCGCACGTTGTACCTGTGTCCCTGGTGTGGACCGCAAGGGGTGTTCCACGGGGCAGGGTCCCTTACTTTGGATGCGCTCGCACAGCGTTACCTTGCGGCTGATCCAGCGATCCCAAGGCTGCACCCGGTTTGGCCGAGCGACCGTTCGGACCGACTGGTCTTTGTCCCAGCAATCAGCGAGACAGCTGGCCTAGTCTGTGTTGTTGCCAGGATCGCCGGCGCCCAGAAGGCGCTTGTAGTGCCTGCCCTGGTTCAGTACGACCAAATTTGCCGCGCTATCCAGTACAACACTCCCTGGGAGGTCTCTCAGGTACGATTTCCGCCGGCGGTCCATGCTGCTCGATTGCGCCACTTCTGCTCCGAACGGGGGATGTTTTGGATGTGATGGCTTGTCGAGAAGACGCCACAGCCATGTGGCCACAGAGCCCAGCTGCACTTAAGGATGGCACACTCTGGACGCGTAAGATTCATTTGGAGTTTTCGCTTCAGGTGTTTCTCTGGCTGCCACCAGCCCAACAGCTTATTTTACATCTCCTCCCAGCCGGATCTGAGTGGGACCCAGCAGTTCTGTCATTTGGGGACTTCCAGCGAGCGTTTGCTGGGGCATGGGTTCCGGTTGTCTGGAGTCCGAGCCAGTGGATCCATCTAGTGCAGGCCTCCGAGGTCTCCCACACGGCAAATGTTCTTGTGGAAAGCTGTGGGGAACTCACCGCACAATCTGTTGGCAGGATTGTCTCTCCGCAAACCTTTGCTGCCGACCGCGGGTTGGATGCACCTCGGCTCGGGCCTCTTGGCGTTCCTCGCGACCGAGTCATCGACCGATGGCATCTCCGGGATGGAGACGTCGTGTATGATCACTCCGGCCCTGCTTCTGACTATGTAGTCTGGGATGTCAGCAGGCTGAGCTCTAGTATCTCCCTTCCTCTTCTTGCCCTTTTGCTTGGCGGACGTGGCGGTGTGCACGCAGGTCTCTCTCTCTCACTGCTCGCTTTCATTAGTCACAGAGGTGGGGCTGTGCGTGACAGGTCGCGCTCGGCCCGCCGGCACAGTGATACTGAGGAAGACTGCTCAGTCGCGATGGTCGGACGGTGGAGACCGGAGCTGCCGCAACCTCTGGCTGAAGTTGTCTCCTCCCAGCGCTGGGATTACCATATCCTGTGCCCCTTTCGGGGCTGGAGCAGTTGCATACATGCCGCACCCACCACCCCGCATGATGCCCTTCAATCGATGGTTGACTCCTGCAGCGGGCCCTGGGCTAGAGGGCACGTTGTCTTGGGCCCGAGTCGTATTACGGGCTCGGGGATTGTCCTGCCCATTGCCGGTAGCGGTCTGGCCTCGATCGTTGCACATGCTGGAGATACTACTCGGGCAGTTCTGGTTCCGCGCGTCTGTCGCCTGCACACGCTCTTGGATTGTTGCCGTCGCTTTCTGGGGGCACCTGGGGACCGTCTTAGTCTGCCGCCAGCCTTGACATACCCACAGATGGCCCCCGATGCCCTGTTACAACTTCGCGATGGGGATTCCGTTGTGCTCGAGATGGACCACTTCAATCGCGCATGCCGTGTCCGACCTGATGCGGCGGTGCACGACCTGTATCGTCTGAACCACCTCAGCCTTTGGAACTCCAAGTTCAAGGTCAGGCGAGGAGGATGGGTTTATATCTGGCAGGACTCAGTCAACCCGGACGACCAATGTGAAAGACTCTGGGTGAGCGCAGGAAGTGTCTGGATGCCTTCCCAGTGCCAGTTCGCGCCACCACGGGGCGACCCCATATCTCCTAAAGTCGTCCCCGTTCCTTGTCTTCAGCCTTATGAATGCCATTTCGTACGGCGGACAGAGCACTTAGAAGCTCAGGTTATCATGCACGATCCCGCTGGAGTCCATGAGACTGAATGCCGTTTGCTCTCGATGACGTGCCGTGGCAATCCTGTGCCTGGAGGATGGCAACTGCGTTCGGATCTGCGCATCAAGGCTCCAGACAGTACTCTTCGCGATGGGGACGCGCTTGTGCCACAAAGCAGGGCGTCCGCTAGGTCTCGCTTGTCTGAGCTCCTAGTTGTCCGAGGCTTGGGGCGGCGAGGGCATGTGATCACGTCCCTCTTCCTTTTCGGGCTTGCCCTTCACACAGAGGCGATGGTCATCCCGCCACGCGAATCTCAGGTTGTTGAAACTGCTAATATAGGGAAGTTCCCATGGCGACTACCAGCCTCGGAGCGGGTATGTCACGAAACTGTCGCTACAGCAGGCACAGCCCGTCTGTTCTCCCCATTCGCTGCGGACGCTCCGCCTGTTGACATCGGGCCAGACTCTCTTGTTGATGACATCACCATCACCTTGACGAGTTGGAGTCCTGCATGGCACACCCACATCATGCCATTGTGGCCTGCTCTCTGGCCGCCGCACTTGTGTTTTGTCCCGGTGCCAGATGACCCGCGCCTTGTCTGTATTATGGTGGTCTCGTCCGAGTGGCAGCTCCCATTGCTTATCCCTCGGCGTGCCGATACTATAACTGGGTCACAGGTCTTCTCCAGCATCTGGGGCCTGGCTCGGTCTCTTCGGTTCGGCGGCCTGCCCAAGCGGGAGCGTCTATGTCAGGCCCTAACGATGCTGTCGATTGGAGGCATGGTGATGTCCTGCTTGCCCTAGGGCCAAGGGATGCTTCTGGACTGGACCCGCCGTGTTTTGTTAACAGTCTTGCAGTTCGTACTGCGGCCCTTTGGGCTATTGATTTTCGTTGTGCCTGCACTCTCTCCGTTGTCATGTGGACTCCGGGAAAGCGGCCTGTGCGCACTACAATGCCCCCTGACAGCCGGTGGGTTGCCCTCGAGGCGACGTTTGCAGGGGAATTCCACCAGCGGTACCCGGGACGCTGGACCCCTGTCCCCTGGGCTTACTCTGACGACGTCCACCTGTGCCTCAGATCTGAAGACGATATACATTGTCACATCATTGTTGAGGACCTCCAAGGAGACAGGCTGCAGGGCACTTGTTGTGCTGTCAATGCACGTATCACACCTCGTGCATTCGCCCTCTTTTGGGGCGCACCCGAAGGCATCACTCGCCTGCTTGGCATCCCAGACGGGGTTGACAGTTGGCCCCCACTCCGCGACGGGGACATACTGCATGTGCCTGAGCATGACAAATCCGCGGCAAATCGGCCTCGACCTTTAGCCCATTGGCTGGTCATTGCTGCTTGTGCCGCGTCACGTCTCAAGGTTTGTGGGTTGTTGCTTTTGTGGGCTTCAATCCCAGGTAGTGTCACTACGCGCCTTGCTCCCAGCTCCGCTGGGGCTGTGCGACACTGGTTGTGGAGTCCCCACCGGGGACGCCTGGGACCGGTGTTGTGCGGGGATTTATCGGTGCGTACAAGAAATATAACCTCGAACCGCTGTGGCGGTCTGGTTTTGCACAGGTAAAGCCCCAGCCTTGGGATGCAGAGGTCCACTGGGTTCCACGGGCCACGTCTGCCGATCTTGCTACGGTTCTGGTCCTAGGCCGACCAGGGCCCGCGGTCATCACCCTGCCCTGCCTGATCCAAAAGGCACTTTTCTTATCAAAGTTCTGCAGGGTCATTTCCCTACAGCGACCTGCGTACGAGGTAATCACCCAGCCCTGGGACCCTCCGCCCCGGCGGCCTCTGATATCCCTTTGCGTGATGGTGACTTACTCGCTGGGACCCTCCCTGCCATTTTACTCGACAGCTAGGTTCGACAGCCCTCTGGCGGCGCAGAGGCGAGGCCTGTGGAGCCAGGATCTTACCTTTGAAGGATCTGGCGTTGTCCTGCTCCATCGGAGCCCAGACGCATTGCCCATTGTCGTTCCGCTGACGGGGCCCCAACGATGGAATGCTAAAGCGTGCTCTCTTCATCCCGCGCTGCTGGCGTGGCCGGACGCGTGGTGGCCATGTCCTTTCAGCACATACAGCCAAGACGGCCTTCATCTTCGATCCCTCGCTGACTTCACAGTGCCATCGGATGATAGTGTGCGGCCTTGCCAATGGGCCTCCATCGGAGATAGCTCCGATTACGGTTGGGGCTGGAGACGCGGCTGGCATTCCTAGCGGCTGGAGCCCACCTGACTCCGCGCAGGTTCCGTTGCCTTTCAATAGTCGCAGCTGGAGCCACCGCCAGGTCTCCCCAAGACCATTCTTGAGTCTGCTTGCATGGCTTGCGAGCCGTAGCGCTAATGTCCCTGCAGGCTGGAATAAAGGGTTGCCTAGCTGGAGTCTCCTGATGTTAGGGGTGTACCTTGCGGCATATGGCGCGCCGGTGTGGCAACGGGAGTCGGACAACTGGGTTGCTGACCTTACTGAGGTCTGTCAGTTCCAGGCCGACGTGCACTCCACTTGGCTCTCTCGGCGTCAGCGCCAGGCCCTCCCTGATGAGCTCCCCACAGCGTACCACCTTGTGTGGAATGCGTACCCTCTATGGGCAGGAGGGGTCCCTGACGAGCTTTTCATTGCTACCGACGGCAGCGGAACGGGTTCTTGGGCGTTTATAGTCTGGGGTCTTTTCCGGGGTTGTTGGCATAGGATCGATTGGGAAGCCGACAGGTTGTCTCACGTGGACTGGCTTCCGGGCCCAGGCGCCCAGAAGATGCCAGACACTAGATCTTTCCACGGCGAGCTGGCAGCTTTGCAAGCGGCCGCCATGTGGTGCACTGCCCGGAGCCTTTACATGCGCAGCCTCCCTCGAGCGGTCACGATTGCTGTTGATAACTCCTCTGCCCTACTTATCGCTGCAGGGCATGCGTCCGCAGAAGTCCCGTGGGCAGCCGGCACAAGGGCTCTCTGGCAAGCTGTCCAGGCGCGCATATCCACTTTCTTTCGCCATGTTCACAGCCATACTGGTGTCATGGTGAATACCTTGGCCGATGCCCTTGCTACCTGGGCGCTGACCTGCCGGGACAACGGACCCTTGAGCTCCTCTGTCTGGAAGGAGACTTTCAGCTCCATGGCCCCTTGGCTCTGGCTTATCCCTCGGGCGACGCTGAGAGGAGGGCGCCCGTGCTTCTCACTTGCCATTGGGGATGTTAACTGGATCCCTGGTGCTGCACAGTCAGGAGATGACTCCCAGGAGGTCAGCAGCACACCCCAGCCTGTTCAGCTTTGTGTTGTCACTGCGAACATCCAGTCCATTAAGGACTCTCCCTGTAGCATCTTTAATCCCTCGGGTCACGCAGCCCGTCGACAGTTCCTCATGGGGCAGGCTTGTACGCTAGGCATGAGCATACTATGCCTCCAGGAAACTCGTAGCCGGGCGGGTCGTTGGGCAATTGGAGGTTGGCTCACCTGGCGCTCGGGCGCTTGCAAGGGCCAATATGGCTGTGAAATCTGGGTCCATCCTCGTGTGGTATCGCCGCCCCTCCAGCTCGGGGACTGGCGCATTTTGCACAGCTGCCCACGCCTTCTGGTAATCACTTGTGTCGCTGACACTTTCCCTGTCACGATTTGCTCCGCACACGCCCCTCATGCTGAGAGGCCTGATGTGGAGGCTCAGGAGTTTTGGTCTCTTTTGACTACCGCCCTACAAGCAGCGCCCAGACGTCGAGCCGTTGTGCTAGGTATAGATGCGAATGGGGACTTTTGCTCAGCAGACGAAGAAGGGGTCTTGGTCGGCACCCTGCTGTCAAACCAGGAACCATCACGCAATGACGAGTTCCTCCTCGAATTGTGCTTGCGTTTCGGCATGCATGCTCCAGCTACTTTCAATGACACGCAAGTCGGTGAAGGTTGGAGCTGGCAACATACCAGTCTCCGACGGAAGCGCCTTGACCATCTCCTCTTCCAATCTGGCCCTTGGGAGGTGCAGCAGGCCAGCCAAGCACTCGCCTTTGATATTGTCAACGTGCAACAAGATCACGTGGCCCTGTGGGCTCGCACCGTGTTGCGGGCTCCCGCGCCTAGGGTACGACAGACACAGCACCGTCGGTGCCTCCCGGCCGAAGTTCGTGACGGTGGCGATGCCATCTGGTCCCGCATCCCGCGGTGGGGGCAGCAGGGCAGCACCGCTCAGGTCCAGCACCTCTTAGAGGTTTACACAGGTTGGAGGAAATCCCTGCCTGCGCGGGCCCCCTTGGTCCCTCGACAGCCATACATTCAAGCCCAGACTTTGCGATGTCTCAACCGTGTGCGGGACTGGAGGGCGCAGATACGTTTAGTGAAGCAGGACGGGCGACGCCTTTTGCTCGCTCTTTCCTTTGATGGATGGAAGCGAAGCGGTTTCGAGGACCGCGCGGCCCACCTCCAATGGCACCACCACCGGATGCTCGAGGCGGCGATGCTATCTCATGAGTACAGTCTCAGTCGCATTGCCCACAACTCTGCCAAAAAAGACAAGGTGCGTCACTTTCTGCTACTTACGACGTCTGCAGTCGACCTGTGGCACAGCGAAGGGCGCGCCATGGAATCCATCTCCAAACTCCGCTGGGCGTCTCGCCGTGCGGCAGAGCGACGAGCGATCTATGCCGCTGGTGGCTATAACATTGAGAGTGAGTTGGAGGAGCAGTTCAGGGCCCAGGAAGGGGGCCGGGCGGTGACTCCGGACCAGATTCATGCTGCTCAGCTCTCCTGGGCGAGGTCGGAAGCCACTAGTTGTCCCCAGGCGGTCCCGACGCTCCTTCAAATGGAATCAGCTTGTCGAAGGCTTCGAAGGCAGCAGGGGGGGAAAGCACCCGGGCCTGACCTTGTACTCAACGAGCTCTGGCGCCACTTCCCGGCACACGCGGGGATTTGGTTTTGGCAGATCTGTACCAGCGCTGCGCTCACAGGCCGCGAGCCGCCCCAGTTCAAATTAGCACTTATTTGCGCCCTTTACAAGAAGGGCCCCGCGGCCTTGCCCCAAAACTACCGCTCCATCGCTCTTATGAATGGTATGGCAAAAGTATACCATGGTCACTTACGTCGTGGCATCGGGCACTCGATCTTGCATCAATACCAAGGCCTCCAGTTGGGAGGGCGACCCGGAATGCCGGTCCATTTTGCTGTGACCGCCTTTCGGTGCGGGTCGTCCTTGAGCACGGAGGTTCAGCGTAGTGTAGCGGTACTGTTTGTTGACATACGAGCTGCTTACTACGAAGCGAACCGGGACCTCATTTTCGATGGGGGCACTCTCTCCTGGACGCCGGGCGCCCACCGACTGCGGCACCTGGGGGCTTTAGCTGACCAGTTAGGCCGCGAAGGAGCACTGCAGCTTCTTGGGGTGCCACCTGAGGAAATCGCCCTGCTCAAGGACTGCGTCGCGTGCGCACATTGGCACCTGGCGGGTTCGGATAGGCTTTTCCTTGCCACCCGGGGGTCTAGACCGGGGGATGGGTTAGCAGATATTCTTTTCGGCTCGCTCTTTGCCATCGCACTTCGCCATATCGAGGCCACCTGCCAGCAGGAAGGACTTGCTTGCCACGCCGCTTGTGTTGCTTCTGGTTCCATACCTCGACCATTGCAGGTAGGATGGGCTGATGACCTGGCAGTCATCACCGACTATGCTAGCCCCCGCGAACTGCAGCAACTCTTCCCAAGGGTTGCAGAGATTGTTATCGATACATTTCACGCTATGCACTTCTCTGTGAACCTGGGAGCGGGGAAAACAGAGGCACTTCTGGATATAAGAGGTGCTGATGCTAAAGCTGTTCGCGGGGAACTGCTCGGATCAGCGACACCATTGCTCCTTCCCAACGGTGCCGAGTTGCGACTCACCCCGGAATATAGGTACCTCGGTGTTATTCAGCACCCCAAAGATAATGGCCGCAGGGACATCGAGCTTTGTGCACAACGGGGACGGACTGCTTGGGCCCATGGCCGCAATTTGATTAGCGGGGAGGCCCTGCCTTGGGCGTTACGGCAAGCATGGGTAGCCGGCAGGATCCTCCCGGCTGCGTACGCGACGATTGCCACGTCTGTTGCGGTCTCTGACAGAGCTACGGCGCCTCTACAAGGTTTGTTTGAGCGCCTTGCTAGGGTAGTTTGCAGTTCATGGCGGTTCGGCCACCACTTACACCGTTCGGTTTTGCTTTGTCTCCTTGGGCTTGCCGCTCCAGAGCATGCGGTTGCGATTGCGCGCACCCGTCTGGTTGTCCAGCTCGTTGATAAGGCCCCCGCCGAGGTGTGGTCCCTTTTTGATGCCGCGTGGAATCACTCTGTGCCTTGGTGCGAGATGCTGGCGGATGCATGCAAGCTTGTAGCTCGCAATGTCGCTGGAGCATGCCGGCAGTATGTCCCTACTGCCCTCGCCTTTGTGCGGGAGAATAAGCGGGGGCTTCAAAAGGCCTGCAAATTCCTCAGTCGTTGGGGTACACTGCAGTGGTCGTTCTGGGCGCTGTGGCAAGATCTCTCCGGGCCCAAGCAAAAGCGTGTCCTCGGTTCTGCAACCCCCCACACATGTGCCATTTGCAATACGGTCCTTCCCAGCGCCCATGCGCTTGCTGCGCACGTCCATCGCAAGCACTCAGTCGTTAACTGGCTAACTCGATTTACACACGGGACTGTGTGTCTCTGGTGTCATACCGAGATGCAGTCCTCGGACAGACTCAAGTACCATCTGCGCACCTCTCCACTTTGTGTCCATGGGCTTCGGGTCACAGTTGGCGAAGTGTATGAGTATGGCACTGGGACACGCCGGGGTGGTCCCCGACGCCACCGTGGCATCCCGGCGACAAGGGTCCCCGGTCCTTGCAATGCCACCCCCGCACAGCGCCTCGCTTCGCAAGAAGGGAGACTCTGCACTGATGCTGAGCTCGCTCAGGAACTGTATGCAGCCACTGGAGCTTGGAACCCTTTCGACTGGCCGGTCCCTCAGCCCCACAATGGGATCGGCAATCGGGGGCCTTTGGTTGCACCCGCGGGAGTCCGTGCCGCACACTATCACCCCGCTGGTGATGGTGACGCCGACGGGTCTGTTACTCGCGGCAATCGCCCTGATGGCGCTCCGCGGTTAGCCGCTTGCCCTGAGGGTCATCTGTCCTCGTGCCACTGGCGCTGCCTCTTTGACTACTCTGAATCTGCTGAGGCCTGGCACGTTCCATCCCCCCTGTGGTCTGCTTGGTCTTTCCCTCATGTTGTCTGGCAGCTTCCCAAATCGTAGCACCGTTTCTGGGGGTGCTGGAACGCAGCTGATCTCTCCCATCCTTGGGACGCTGCTGCTACCCGTGCTTTCCGGACCCTGCCCCTGAGCGCTTCCGTGGACTCGCCGTCCTCGCGTGAGCCGCCCGTTGCATTGCAGTGCCTGCTGGCTGCTACGGTCACGTTGCGCCAGGTGTGCGCGCGGGTTTGTGCTGGCGGCGCCCTCTGGCTCTGGGGTGTGCCTAGCCCCGCCGGTCTTGAGCTGCTCCGCAGGCTGCTCCCTCGGGCTCTGTTTCGGACTGCCCACCTTCCTGCTGGCTCGCTGTTTGCTGCGCAGCATCCTGCTTGCCCGGCTGCTTGGTGGTCTGATCTTCATGCCCTGTGCTCTCCCCTGCCCTCGGGCCGTTCTCCTCCGGTCCGTCCTTTGCGAGCTTCTTTCATCTTCCGCACGGAGTCGCTGGGTCGCGCCTAAGGTGCTTCTCGCCTCTGTGCCTTTTGGTTGAGTTTGCCCGCGTCGTTCCATAGTGGTTCGCGCTTTTGGGGCTGCACGTCTTAGGTTGCTCCGGACTCGGACCGATCAGCAGTGAAGTGAAGTTAGGGTTTAGGAATTACAGGCTTTAGGCTTAAATTTTGTGGTTTAGTGTGAGGATGGGTCATGTACGATTGTCTGCGGTGCTTTGTGAAGCTCTGTGCGTTCCCAAGCCGGTGCCGGCCTTGCAGGCTTCCTAAGTTTCTTCAAAATAAACCCTAAACCCTAAACCATACGTCAGAGAAAGGGCCACGTACTGTAGGGGCCTTAATACTGCAATTAGAATAGGGTTTTGGCGGCTCCTTGTTATAGTTATGGTTTACTAATATACCCCCAAACCCTAGTCGGATAACTAAGGCCCCTACATCATAGGGCTTCGATCTTGCCGATCAGGCGCGCAACAAACCGTGAAACCGATTGGCATTGGAACCTGCATGCCAAGGCCAGACGGACTAAGACCGGGTGAGTGTCGGAGTTTCACGACTCAACCCAAAAGCCCTTCAAGACCCAGGGAATACCCGATGCAGTCTGCGCAAACAGAGCTACAACCCATGTAAAATCGCCCTGGCTCCCATCCCGAAAGCCTAAACCCTCAAGCCCTTTTTTGGCCGACTCATGAAGCCTGCCGGAGCGCCTCCGCTTGCCCGAACAACCTTGCACCGAATTGAAACCCTGAAGCCCTGGAATACGCAAAGCCCGAAACTAAGCCCCAAAGCCCCTAAACCCTAACCTAAACCTTGAACCTGCAAACCCTAAACCCTATATCCTAAAGCCCTTAAAGCCCTACAACCCTAACACCCTGCAGCCGTAAAGCCCTAAACCCATAAACCCTAAACCCCAAAGCCCTAAAGCCCAAAAAACCCAAAGCCGTAAAGCCCCTAGAGCCCCAAAGCCCTGAATTCTACTCGTAAGCGTGCCAGCAGCTGCAGCGATCGCGCATCGCCGAGCTCCGAGGCCTGCAGTCGAGAAGTTTGGGTTGCTAACTTGCTTTCTAAACCCTAAGCCCCTAAATCCTAAACCCTAAACCCTGAACCCTAACCACTGAACCCCTAAACCTCTAAACTAGGACCTAGGAGGTCTGCTGGCTTGCTTTCCAAACCCTAATATAGGGGCCTTGATAACTAGAATAGGGTTTGGGGGTATATTCTACTATGATTATTATAAGAAGTATTTAGGCCCCTACATTAAACCTCCTAAGCCCGAAACTAGGAGATTTTGGTCTTATGTCAGGTGCCCCTAGGCTCCGAATAGGCAATTTACTACTTTTGACTATAGGCAAGTTAATTTTTAACTATATAGTTAATTTTTGTTGAATTACCTATTACCTATAATAGTTAATTTTTAACTATTAAACTACGGTTAATTTGCATATTTCGTGTTGCGGGGCTTGTCCGGCAACGATCGACTGCAGCTTCTTGTGGCTTCGACAGCTTAGGGACGAGTGGACTTCGTAGAGCCGTGCCCTGCAGCCATGGCTCCGAAAGTCGAAGGCGGACGGCAGTTGCCACTGGCTTTCAGCTTAACCGTCGAGACCGGCTCGGTGCTAGACCCGCTTGCGGTTGCCCAGACGTTGCTAGAGGACTCCCAGAAGTCACAGGCGGAAGCCCCGCCCGACAGCCAGGTCGAGGACCCAACGGCCGAAGGGAAGGTCGGCGAGCCGGACGAGACGGAGACAGCGAAGCCCAAAGCGAAGGCCAAAGGAAAGCCCAAAGCCCAGGCAAAAGAAAAGGCCAAAGGCAAGGGCGAACCCAAGGCCAAAGCCAAGGCCGAACCCAAGGCCAAAGGCAAGGCCGAACCCAAGACCAAAGCCAAGGGCAAAGCAAAGGCCAAAGCAACGGCGGTCGACACGGAGCAAGAAAAGGCTGCAGCAGCGGCAGAGCCGCCAGAGGAGACCGAGGTTCCAGAGGCCCCGACAGAGAAGAAACGGAAGGCCACGGAAAAGCCGGCTGAGGAGCCTGACAACAAGAAGCCCGAAAAGAAGAAGCCCAGCGAAGTGCTACGAGAGCGAGCCACGGCCCTCGTTGCGGAGCTTCCAGAGGACGTTCCGCCGGCCAAGGCTGCTGGTGAGGAGTTGCAGACCCGTGACAGGCGTAAGGCTTGGTTCTTCGAGAAGAGTTTGCCAACTTTGTCGTCG